ACTTGCTGAAAATTGAACCATTAGTACATTTACGTTAAAACGTTGTGGAGAATCTTATTTATTATTAAATGAATATGTTACATCGTATGCAGACTTTAACAATTAACGAAGGCAATGCTAGGGATTGGAACCGTTATTCGTTTAACGCTTTTAACTGCCTTTAACTGTTTATTTATTTATATTATACGGTTAAACGAGTAAGAAATTTTACAAACAATTAAAACAGTTAAATTGTTTGCTTAACTGTTTTTAAATTTTTTAAATTTTATACGATTAATCGTTTAATACTCGTTTAATACCTTACGTGAATATAAACAAGTATACACGTGGTTATTTAAACCTTATCAACGTTCAAGCAGTATAACTATATGAGTGATGCCAATTAAAACCTGAAGGTGAATATTCATGTTCTTACTGTGGCGAACTGATCATATTAGTGATTCAATTACGCAACATTATAATTTTTCGGAGTATATTATTGTATTAAGAAACTATTTACAGTCAACTCTCTTTAAGTGCAACTCCTCTAAGTTAGGGTGTCTGGCATAGTGGCAAAGGCATACCAACGGTGGCATGCCAAAACAAATTTGGCATGCCACTGGGTACAGCATAAAAATTATACTTACAATATTCAAACCATATATATGATATTATAAATAATATATAATATTTTATGGCATGCCATGGCACAAATTTTTACAAAAGGCATGCCCTGTGGCATGCCAAATTTTTTTTGGTGTGCCAGACACCCTACTCTAAGTGCAACTACTCTCTATATGCAACTTTAACTTCGGGCCCAAGTATATGTTTGGTATATGTTTTGTCTCTATAAATGCAATTTTTCTTAATTGTTCTCTAAATGCATGTTGCTAAAAGCCTGGTCTCAATAAATTGCACTTAGAGAGGGTTGACTGTATCGTTATGTTATAAAAATTTTATACAATTATGGTTAAACGGTTAAACGATTATACGATTATTAATCGGGATTAATCGTGTAACTTATAATTAAGTGACCCGCCAGCATAATTTTCTGCGGTTCCAATCCCTAGGCAATGCATGGGCATTAGAAACCCGTGGAATAGTTGAAGAACTGTCAGTATAAGGGAGGGTCGAGTATTTTGGCATGGGAACAATTTAAGTACCATTCGATTTGTCTTATCAAGGTGAGTCAAATGATATAAAAATCGCCCTATCTGAATCATGATTAACGCTTAGAGAAAACTTGTAATTGATTAAAATCAATACAGCATTTGGCCATAATATGTATTATCGGTATATATTAAGGGTTATAAAGAAAATGATAAATATGTATGAAAGAAAAATTTTGGCCGCTGATGAAACTATTAAAACATTACCTATTATACTAAAGCATCGGGATTCTACGTATACTGGCAAAAATTATGAATAAAAAGAAATAAACCTGCTTTAGCTAAAGTTCGGAATCGGTTTTATTTTTCATATTTTAAAATCGATAAACCAGTTTTAAATTTTGTTGAAATAAAGTATATTAGACAAATTTATAGAAATATCAGATTCTGATTTTTAGCGTCCATCATGAAAACAACAAAGACATATCGAGAGCAGATAGAGCTATCAGTACTATCTGATACTTGATAGAGCTATCAAATATCCGATAGCTTACTGATAGCTCTATCTGCTCCCGATATGTCTTTGTCGTCACGATTAGGGATTGGAATCGGTTTAGTCGACTAAACCGATTCCAATCCCTACTTGAGAACACCCTAAGTTCATACAGTGCTCACTCATCGGAACATCAGAGGATCAATTAATTGGTCGATTTCCTAAAACCAATGTCAAGAATTACAGTAATTTTTTTTTTTTGATTTATGGCACCCATCGTGAGTCCATAAATCAAAAAAAAATTACTGGTTTTAGGAATTGATCCTTCTGATGTTCCGATGAGTGAGCATTGTATGAACTTAGGGTGTTCTCCGTTATGGTAAAATTTAATTAGACTTTGTTAAAGAGCAATAGGGCAAATGATAACGTAATTGACGTATTCTCACGTATCTTCCTCAATGTAATTAACTTGTAATTGTGTTTACGTTCAAGCGTTGCAATAATTGAAATATTGATGGTTGTGCAAACACTTTTATTATTACTATATTATTCGTTACCATTAAAAAAATTATTGCTTTTACAAAACCGTAATAAAAAAATAAAAATAAAAATAAAAGACGATGAACCAAAAACCCATGTCAGAAATTACAGGTTCTGTTCCATCCTTTTCAGACTTCGCCAACTTACATATGTTGCTACAACAAAACTAGCCGACACAACTTTTTCTGGATCCTCTACTATAAGTAAACAAATATTGAATGTGAAAATTTTTAATTATTGATGTAATATTTTTAGGTTCGCTTTTAGCTTTGGCTAACGTTGAGCCATTACATCTTGTGAAGGAAGAACGAATGGAATGATTGTATTTAGTGTCATATAACTGATGAATAAAGACTAGAATATGATAAGTATGGCCATTCGTGAAATTTCAGTTTTTATTCGTAGCGAAGGTTTTTTAACGTAAGCGCTGATTACAATTTTAAAGATCCATATTGGTAAAAGTTTGAACGGTTATTTTTTGTAATCCATCAATGAAAATTTTAGTCAATTAGCACAACTCTATGAAAACAAAAGGATGTTTGGACCTCCATTTCTTTACAGATAAGACCGTTGATGTTATACGATTGATTTTTCACACGGTGTGCAGCATATAAAAAAATACCAGATCATTCCGCTAGTACGTACATGTTATGATTATAATCCAACACCATTTTTATAAAAATGATGTTGGATTATAATCATAACATGTACGTATTAGCGGAATGATCTGGTATTTTTTTATATGCTGCACACCGTGTGAAAAATCAGTCGTATAACATCAACGGTCTTACCTGTACCATTTCTTATCAATTGGAATGATAAGTGCTTTTGATCGGCTAAACGGTCTTCCGATAATTAAAATTTCTCTATGACGTATTAAATTATCGCAGCTCTACATCATCCATTGGAATATTAAATACAATTGATTCGAAAACCCATTTTTTATTTGCTTCCCGACCAATCGACTGAGGCGCTTGAGAACACCCTTATTCATAATTAATAAATTTTTATTGGTATAGCAAAGAATCTTTATGAATACTATATAAAATTTTTATCAAAAACTATTTTACCGTTAGTTTGATTGAAGTATATAATTTAGTCAATCAAATAAGCGAGAATTAGTTAAAAAATGAATATGTATTTTGACAAATTAAAACCATGTAATTTTTAGCTCATTAATTATTACCATATATATATTTATAAATAAATGCTAAAAAAATTTTAATATTACATATACTCATTGTATAATAGATTAAATACTTATTAATTTTTAATTTTTTTTTAAAAAAAAATTAAATACACGTAAGTAGCAGAATTTGGTGACTGTCTCAGGACGAAACCCCGACAGTTAAAAGTTTAAAATTTCGGTTCAGCTTTTTCACACTAATAACCAAATCCGCTAACACCTAACATTTCACATGTTAATATAGCCAAATTAAACTTGAAAAACTCTTATGCGTTGATATTAATCATCTGAATTTCGTATTAGAGCAGGATTTAGTTTTAAAGATTGATTAAAGATTGATAAAATCCAGAATAAAAAATGAAAAATAAAACATCTCAACTTTTACCGACCGTGTGTACAAATTCTTTGTATTAAAAAGTACTTTATAGAATCATGCGGCATTTGTAACAGGGCCATTACCGACTTACTCGGCCTTTTTCTAATTGTTAATTTTTTTATTGGTTAGAAAAAGCATAGCCGAGAAACTTTATAATTTTCGATTGGAGTGACATTTAGGTTCGTGTTACTTTGACAAGTCGTTTCATAATATAATAATTTCTAAATATGAACTATAATTGATAAAAATAGTAATTGTCAAAAACGGCAGCTGTCGGCCATTAAATGCCACACAATACCGATACTCGGAATGGAAATGCATTCCATATAAGCCGAGAGTAATAATATTATAAAAAAACGATACTCTTTAATTACACATTCTCTAAATCCAACACTTAATTCTCTTCAATTACTATCAGACTATCCCAAGTACAGTACATAACTAACAGAGTTATACGTACGTACGTACAACATTGCTTCATTAAATGCCTAAATTCAAAATTTCTGATTATATGCTGAGGAGTCGTGCTTAGAAAGAATTGACATCCTTGTATCTGCAAAATTATGAATTATGTCCTCCCTTACACACCAATAAGGTCGCTTTATCCACTCTATCGTTTTTAACAACATCGGACAGAAGATATTTAATTGAAATATTTAATTGAAAAACGAACGAACTTAAAAAATAATGCAATTATGCGATTGCGATCCTTAGTTGTTGCAATTGTTGCATAGAATCATTACACATGAATATAATAAAATCCATATACATCATTCTGAAAGAGTGATTTATTAATTTTTCAGTACGAGGAACTTATATCCAGAAGATAAAGAGGCAACCGAAAAAAAAAAACTTACCTTTATCGTTCTTGTACATTAATGATAATCACACAATAAACACACACAGAAAAAAAAATATATAATACGTACAACATGACTTTTATTTAATGCGGCCATAGATCTTAATGAGCTTATAGTAATACAGAGAGAAAACAGAAGAAATGACACGTATAACACAGAGCTTAATTTTGACTTAATCATATATTTTTTTTTCTTAATTTAGTTATAAAATTTTAATTATTTTAGTCACCGATGTGACAATTAATTTTAATTGTATTAACGATTAACAAAATATTGATCTCGGGTTTCGTTTATATATACCTAATCGATTCGAATTAATTACTAAAATACACTAGATTATTTTACAAAAAAAAAAAAAAAGGAAAGAAAAGAAAAGAAGCGAGAGATTCATATATATATTTATGTTTAATATATTTGGTATTCACTATAAATAATTTTAAGATTTTTTTTTAACACGTTAATATTGATTTCCCCATTCGAGAGGAATGTTATCGAATAAATAATTTTCGTATGTCCAAGCCTGCCCAATATCAGATTGTTGTTGAGTTTCTGAGTATTGAGAGTATTCGAATGTTTGTATAGGCTCGAAATATTCAGAATATTCAGAGAAAGCCAATTCGGAGTTTACATTATTATAAATGTTAGAAGGTAATTCTTGACAAAAATTATCACCTTGCCACAATGTAGAGTCCGCAACATCAGATAGCATGGTGAATCCAAGAGGATTTGATAATTGAACGAGGTTCATAGATGTATTATCAAAAACATCAAAGTCAGTTTCTTCGGGGGTACGTAACCCAGAATGATTCATAAGACTATAAAATAATGAGTCTTGAGACAATTCTGGAGTTGAAAATTGAGTATCGGTAAGAGGTGGAGAAGGCAACATTGATGATTGGGCATTATTTTCAGATTGATCAGGAACCAATTTTGATTTTTTATAGAGTTTGCGTACTTCTTTCGCAATCTCTTTGTATTTATTTTTTACATCTTCTGGTTCACGCTTCCACGAGATCGAAACCCAAGGAGAAACATCAGTCATTTTAAACCTGAGATTTCTCTTAATTAATTCCTTAGTATAAACTTTACGATAAATAAAGAAAGCATTTGGAGGTTTTGAAGGAAGCTTGCGAGTCTTGCAATTCATTAAATCTTCAGGAACTATTTGTGGTGGGAAAGGTAGATCCATATTAGGTGGGGGACTAATGATTCTTCGCCTTTGTTGATCTACAGATGGCATGAAGGACGAATTGTCAGCGGTAGTAGATTGAAAAGTGGCTGTATCCATTTGCATTTCGAGAATTCGAGAATTTTCTTTGTAAATATCAATGACTGGGATTTATTCCGTGGTGGCTTGACAGTGGAGAGAGTTGGGGTATTTATAAATTTTCAACATAATGTGGCTAGTAAGTGACTCAACCCTCGGCCGAATTTCCAAAAAAAAATATCTGTGCGACAAAGAACAAATATTTTTGTGGCGCCTTCTAGATCTTCGTCACTGGAAAAAAGATGTTTCTTAGAAACTTGTCAATAAGATATGATCATCTACATAATAATCTACATAAAAGTATAACAAATTCTTTCAAAAATAGCTAATTAGAATTAACTATTTATCCCTTGATTGAATAAGATTGGAGGGTTTTCAGTTTAAGATATCAACATATGGAAATTAATCAATGCGCATTGTTGTGTTTCAATTTAAATGATTGGTTCAAAATTTTGGTTATAAAGTTATTATAACCCTATGTATTTATTAATTAAGGCGTTCAAAAATTCGAGTGAGTTATCATTTTAACTATAATCAGACAATATATAATTGAATTAAGAATTAATTTACAAGATTTTGTAATTCATGTTGTCATTGCGCTGCAATGATTGCCACATTAATTGTTGATTAACAATATAGATAAATGTAGCTATATATATTGTAATATAACTCGGTCTGTCAACTACTGAACTACATTCAAATATCATCAAATTCAGATTTAATTGGTTGGTCGCTTGTATAAATTGTGAATTACTAATTAATATATAGCTTAAAGAAGTAATCGTCAAAATCAAGTATGATCATATCGTGAGTGATCTGCTTATAAATTATCTTGATGTATCAAAGGGATGTAAAATTTAAGTGCGCACGTCACGCAAGTTAAAAAGTAGCATATCAGATATCTGATATCTGATACGTACTGTACGTATGTGGTTTTCGTTAATTTACCGCTACGGGTCCTACCAAATCTTGTAATACAATCATTAACTATTATGTACGCGGGCATCATTGTCTATGAACTCGTGTTCATCATTTTATTTTCCTTATCGAGTATTACGATCTGCCAATCCTATGTAGTATTTAACGTCATACGTATAATTTATAAAAACGATGAATGACGTGATGTGAATATAGATTGGTCTTATAGGCTTACTAAGGTGCAACAAGCCGTGAAACAATAGTGTATAATTAGGATCTGAGAAAATTTTTAAATAATCCGTTAGATTACTATGGTTTAGATGATACTAAAAATAACTTAGGCAGAATGGGAAATGCCGATTTATCAAAATCTTTAGTGATTGGCTGCAAAAATACGTAAAGATAACTTACAAGGATATAAAAGTCTAAATCTTCTGTTATGTACATGTGCAATTTTATACGTAGGAGTTTCTTGGCACAATTTTAAAAATCGAATGAAGATATATCTATGAATTATGTACAAAGAACTAAAGCCGCATAACGAGATCGTGAAGCAATTATCTGATTGGGTAATACGATATGCTTACAAATTTAGCCCATCACTAATGTATCACGAAATTGTTAATCGTATACGGGAAAATAAGTTTTTAGAAATTTAATATAGAATGCTCTAAAAAAGTGGAACATTGTGAAATTCCGATTGTAAAAAATCTACAACTCACTTTCACATTATTTTCTAAAAAAAATTTTTGTATTCATTAAACTTATCGTTATAAATTTGATTGACCAAAAAATTTAAAGATCAAGTGTGACCTAGCTAAAAATATTCTTGCACACAGCTCTTAGACGCCACAGTAGCTTATAAATTTAATTGATCAATCAAATTTAAAGGTCAAGTGTGAACCTAGCTAAAAATATTCTTGGCGCCACAGAACTTATAAATTTAATTGATCAATCAAATTTAAAGATCAAGTGTGAACCTAGCTAAAAATATTCTTGGACGCCACAGAACTTATAAATTTAATTGATCAATCAAATTTAAAAATATTCTTGGACACCACAGAACTTATAAATTTAATTGACCAATCAAATTTAAAGATCATGCGTAACATAAAATTTTACCTACGTACGTACGATTATTTTGATACGTGATAATTAGGGCTGTAATTAATTTAGTACGAAAATGTATTCATTTAATGTATAAAATTTTTATCCAAAATTATGTATTTAAGGAAGACCTAAAGACCTTAATAAGGAAGGAGAACAAGATGTCTCGAAGCTCTTCATTAACATCCTCCACAAGCATTTAGCATATTTATCACCAGTTAACTCAGAACAATTAAAAAAAAGCCGGGGTTATTGGTTTGTAATATATCATTAGCATACATATCTATATTGTTTTTTACTTGTTTTTACTAATAGTTTTTTGAATTGCTTTTGAAGTAGCAAAAAAATATAACAATTAGATGCTGCGGCTCAAGTGCTTAATATGTATTATTGTTTAAACAAAAATAAATTATAAAAATAACTATCAAAACTTAATTTTTAAGTTTTGAATCTACAGTACAGTAGCCAACAAAAGTAACGCCCGATTTTTGATTAAAATGAAAATTTTTTATTAATAAAATTTTGACCGCACATACATTATATTTTTTTTTATTTTTTATTTAATATTTTGATGAACGACCATTTGCAGTTGCAATAACTTCGGTTCTTCATGTCATTGAGTCTGAAACTACATGAAGAACTGACGTATCTAAATTTGACCATGCTTCCATTAGGGCCACTTTAAGTGCAGGTTTATCACGGGGAAGTCATCTTGGGTCTTTTAATTATATCTATATAATATGATCAAACTATTATTAAGACTTTCTACTTCTAAAATTTGGTTGCAGACACTCATATTCATATTTTTTATCTATGCTCAAACTTGGTGAGATTGTTTACTGACTTTCACACTCATTTCATCAAAAAAAATAATACACCTCCAATAATAAACATTCTTGTCTTTATGTTGATTACATTAATCTTTCTATCCATTTATATTGCTTGGGACAAAAATGGTTTTAAGAAAGCAACACAAAAACAAAGCCCAGTATTATGTAAGGTTCTAGCTATAGTCTGTATACTGCATTAAAGGTTTAAATTCTTCACAATTTTGAGTAGAGGCATGTGTCTTTTCTTTAATGCTTTTTTTACTATGGTGGTTTTTTTTTTCTCTTTAGGTGGGTAGAGTTGTTAATCTTTTATTCTAGTTTATACTCTGGGTTTATACTCTAGTTTATACTCCAATTTTATACTTCAGTTTTATACTCCAGTTTTATACTCCAGAGCAATACTCTAGATCAATACTCCAAAGCAATAAACCAAAGCAATACTTCAAAGCAATACTTTAGAGCAATACTTTAGTTTATACACTAGAGTAGTAGTAAAATAAAAAAAGATATATATTGCATATTGAATTAGAATTTGTGCTAGATTAAAATAACTATAATATTGCTAATACTACTATTCAAGATTATTATTATATTTATGAGATTATGGTACTCCTGATTTTTTTTTTTTAGGATTTAGTTTTCTTATTAATAAATTATCAAATTTTGTTCTTTTAGAATTTTAAGTATTAAGATCTGGTACTATAGAATTATTGGTATTTAGTTCTTTAGAATTTTAAACAATTAAAAAACAAATCTAATTAAAAATTTGTTTGCAAATCTGTTAAATAAATGATTCTTCAAGACAAAAAAGAATAAAAATAAATAATTTAATATTAATAAAATTTAACAAAAAACTATCTAATAGCTTTTTACATGTTTGTTCTAAATACAAAAGCTAATTCTAATCAAAGGGTGTGGCGACTTAGTGAAGTGGTCTAGTTGTCACCCCGCCAAGTAGCAGGTTGAGAGTTCGAATCCTACA